TGATGGGGCTGGCTTCTGGCTTGGCCCACTTGACTCCGAGCACCTAGCGCCATTGCCAAAGGTGAGGATCGATGGGCGACCTCGGCCACGCCTGCGAGCCGCGCGGCACCCCCGCGTCCAAACGGATGTCCGCGCCACCCTCCTCCGAGGCGCTCAGGTAGAGGATGGCGGGCGCCTTGCTTCTTGAGACTCGGGAGCGCTGGACCCTGTGACGCAGTCTGGCGCGTCGTGTTACGACGGCCTGCAGACTCTGGTAGCCAGCAGCGTCGGCGCCGCCACTGGCTCGAGGACCAGCCGCCGCAAAAGCAGGAGCTTATGGAACGCGAACACCAAAGCAGTCGCGGGGCCGCTTGCCATAGTGCCCCCGCGCGCGCGGAAGCTGCCACTTGGTCGCTCGATTCTTTGATGGCTGCGGAGGTGTAGCCTCGGTCGTACCCGACATTCTCCTCGAGCCCTTCCACGCTCCGATCACCGAGACGGGCCAACCTCTTAGACGAGAGGCAGTGCGCGCACAAGGGTGCATCTCCCGCGCGGCTCGCCAGCCAACTCACCGAGACGAGGCGTCCGCCTGGGCACCCTGGCAGGCTCTCAGCTGCCTCCCGCAGGCTCCGGCCCAGCAGTGCGTCCAGCTCCATGCGGTCCGCCGTCTGGTGCTCCACGACGACCTCCACGAGCCCTGGGAAGTGCCGCCAGAACATGCCACACGCACGCGATCGGCAGCCTGGAGTTCACGCGAAGCCTCCGCGACCTCGTGACCGCTCTTATCAACGCGCCACCCAGGGCTGGGTAGTTCCACCTGAATGGGACGATAACGACGACGATGAAGCGAGCGAACACCTGGCTGAGCCGAATCACCATCTCGTTCGAGACTGCGTCGAGCCCTGCCCAATCGATGACGCCAGACCACCGCAAACGGGTCGTCCGCCGCGCAGCTGGATCGCTCTCCACGGAGGCGTAGGCGACAACTCGCACAGGAAGCTGCGCTGCCGCGACAACAGCGGCCGACGCCGCCGCGAACACTGATGATCAAAAACCGCGGTGCTCCGTCAGCAGAGTCGACCTCGGCTGGGTAGTGCTGAGGAGGCTCCTGGGGCACATGGCGCCGGTGACATGGATGGCGCCGCTGAGGGGAGTGCAAAGTCACCTGCCGCGGACACACAGCCTGGCAGTCGAAATCCGTCTGCTCGGCGCGTCCGGCCCAATGCAGCAGCCGCCCTGCCATGACCGTCTGCTGAGGGTCCCGGCCTGCGCGCGCCAGCGTGGCGGCTGACCAGGGCTGCAAGCCCGCAGATTCGCAGATGTCGCCGCCCTGCTCGGACGCATCGGAGATCGTCGCCATCTCAGAGATCGTCGCCCGGAGATCCGTGAGCGCCATCGGCGCGAGCGCCATCGACGACAGCCATTTCACAGACATTTTTGTTGTAAGGCCGCCCCCGCGCCGCCAGGTGGCGGAACGCCAAATCTCGTTGAGGCGAAGCACCGCGTCAGTTGGTCAATCAGCGTCAGCATCATGAGCCAAGGGGTGTGCGTACGGCCCAAGACATGGTCAGCCAGGCGCTGGGTGTCAATCAGCTTGGCGGGCGGGGTGGAGACACGCCCCACCCGTCGACCTCTGCGCCCATCCGCTCCGCGACGAGGTCACCCTCATGCGCTTTGGCTGTCGCCCAGGGGCACCCCCGCGCAAGCGTAAGCAGCGCCCTGCAACTGCTGCAGACGGCCCGGCTGGCCGCAGCGCTGCTCCGCCTCCGCAAGCGACATGATCTCGGGCGCGTCGAGGTCGTCCACGTACACCTGCCACCGCGCGTGCTCTGCCGAGTCGGCCGCGGCGATCGGCAGCGGCCTGTCGCGCCGCCGCTCCGCCTCCGGCGGGGGCCCTCTCCGCCAGCGCGGCGGGGCCCGTGGGCACAGGCGGCGGTGCAGGTGTTGGAAGGCGACGAGCGCGGCGAGGACTGGGCCAATCGGGATCACAGCCGAGCAAAGCCAAAACCGTTCCGAGCCTTCCAGGCCGAGGTAAGACGCGGGAGCAGGCTGCGCAAGAGTCATAAGCCCCCGCCAAGCTGCCGGGGCCTTCACACGCAGAAGGCACCCTGTTGGTCGTCCCCGTGCCACACCAAGACTCCGCCACGCGGGAGGTGGATCGACGTCCACCCCGTGCTCGTCGCCAGGGTGCACGCGTCGTGGTGCAGCGTCCGCAAGTACGAGTTGTTGGGCACCATGTTCATGATGAAGCGGGTGATACCACGAATGCTCCCGAGAGCACAAGATCCCCGTCGGTTGCGAGCACGTCCTTCTTGTCGATCACCGACAGGACGCCGAGCTGGTACAGATGTCCTGCGACCTCGTACCAGTCCTCGGGCCGCTGCACGTGAATCTGCGCCCGCGGCACGGGCGAGGGCCACGACTCGCGTGGTAGCATCGCGAGCTGCGGGTCCAGGAGCCACCGGAGGATGTGTTCGTCGGCGTGGTCCTCCGCATTAAGCCTGGCGGCAAACTCCGGGCGGGGCAGGCCTGGCACCAGCTCGCGCAGCCGCAGCGAGAGCGCGCGTTCCACCTCGGCCCCGCCGTAGTCCAGGCAGACCTCTCCGACCTGCTTCTCCTCCCTCCTTCTGCGCCTCCTTCTGCGGCCTGTGCTACATTTTTTTCTGGCAGGGCCCAGAGTTTAAAGCAGTCGGCGTGTGGGACAGCCGAAATGTTGGCGACTGAGCTACCCTCTCTCCCTCCCTCCTCGGCGTCCTCTGCTCCGCCTCTCCTGGTTATTTTTCCCACTTGTCGGGGTATTTCCAAGCGCAGCCGGCCATCCTGGGTGGACGCCGGCGTGTCGCGCATTTGCTGGCAGAACCGCGGCGCCACGCGCACTGATGCTGAGCGCAAAAAAAAAATCGATCGGGCACGTGATGAGGCCCGCCGGGTCGTCCAGGTCGTTGAAATCAGTTGTCACAGACGCCGCGCCGCGGGCTGCTGCCCGCGTCGCCGGGGTTACCCCGCCTGGGGAGGGCGGCGCTGCTCCGAAAGGGTCCCTGCCATCAAGCCCGACCTCCGAGCCCATGGCAGCGCCTTCCGAAGTGGCGCGGGAACGCAGCCCGGCGGCGGCGCGGCGCGGTCTTCCGACTTGAGCCGGAAGAGCGCTAAGGAGAGGAGAACGGCGGAGGGGGACAGAGGAGGAAGAGAATACACCCCCACACTTGTGCCTCGCGGGAGGAGTCATGATTCTGATGACGATGATGGTGATGGTGATGGTGATGATGATGCTGATGAGGCGGATGATGATGCTGATGATGCTGATGACGATGACGATGATGCTGGTGATGGTGATGATGCTCGTGATGATGCTGCTGATGATGATGCTTGTGATGGTGGCGATGTTGACGAGGACGGCGATGTTTACGATGATGATGATGATGGTGATCTGGTGATGACGGAGACGCTGATGATGATGACGATGCTAATGATGATACTGATGACGATGTTGATGCTGATGGTGATGCTGATGACGTTGGTGATGATGACTATGCTGGTGACGGTGATGAGTGTGCTGATGATGATCATGCCGAAGATGTGGACGACGACGATGATGCTGCAGATGATTATGATACTGATGGTGCTGATGTTGATGATGCTGATGATGTTGCTGATGATGATGCGGAATATGACGGCGATGCTGCTGCTGATTATTGTGATGATGATGATGATGATGAGGATGACGCTGCTGATGATGCTGATGCTGATATCGTGATGACGACGGCGCTAGTAATGATGAAGCTGAATCTGAACATGGTGATGATGATGCCGATGATGACGGTTGTGAGGCTGATTATGATGGGGCTGATGATGATGATGATGATGATGATGATGATGATGATGATGAGAATGATGTTGATGATGATGCTGCTGATGATGATGCTTGTGATGGTTGCGATGTTGATGTTGCTGCTGCAACGTATGATGATGATGATGATGATGATGATGATGATGATGATGATGATGCGGATGATCATGCTGATGGTGCTGATATGGATGATGATGACGATGATGCTGATGCTGATGCTGATAATGCTGATGATGATGAGGCTGTTGACGATGTTGATGCTGATGCTGAAGATAATGATGCTGCTGATTATGATGCTGATGCTGATGATGCTGATGATGATGCTGATGCTGATCATATCATGGGAAATGTGCTGATGAGGAGGACCATGCAGCTGTTGATGTTGCTGTTGTCGTTGATGATGCTGATGGTGCCGATGATGAGGAGGATCAGGAAGAGGAGGAGGAGGAGGAGAAACATGATGGGGAGGAGGAGGAGCTGGAGAAGGAGGAGGACGGAGGGAAGATACTGAGCAGGAGGAGGAGGAGGTGGAAGAGGAGAAGGATGAGGAGGCCGAGGAGTAAAAGGACGAGGGAGGAGGCGGAGGAGGAGGAGGAGGAGGAGGAGGAGGAGGAGGAACGGATGGAGATGGTGCCGACAGATGCTCAGGCAGTTATGGAATGGCGGAAGAAGCGCCAATTATTCTCACCCCAGACACCTGCTAGCGATGTGACTTGTGAGCAGGGATGGACCACACCATCTATGATCATGGGAGAGGGCCTGCATATACCATCGTTCCTCGAATCCACACACGAGCGCAGTTGAGGGTTTCCAAGAGGAGATCTTCGAGGGTAATCGGTTCACGGTCAAGGCTGCGGGGGAAGCGGCGAAGGAGGGCCGAATGTCAGCAGCGAGCCAGACCATGAGTGCAAACCATTTGCTTCGAGCAGGGCGGTTACGTCGACGCTTGTCGCGTTCACACCTTGACGCGATACGGGAAGCAAGAAGTATCGTCTTCCTTCTCCTTCCCCCTAGCTCCAGTACTTGCCACACTCTGGATGAAGATGACAATCACTGTTCTGTCCGTGAAGGCTCGCCTATGCAGAAGGCTTTCTGAATGGCCCAAGCCCCCCCCCCCCCCTTCCTTGCTTTAAGCTAGAGCCTGTCACTCCTCCCTTCTCCCGCCGCCCTGCAGGCAAGCGCGCCACAGCCGATGCAGAGCATGGACGGGTGGAACGCTTACCTCATGAACCAGGCCTTTGCCGTCCGTCGTGTGCTTCCAATCTAAGTCGTTGGTATCCAGTAAATGCATCAAGTAACGCAGGGACCTGCCAGCAGTTGCCCCATTGAAGTTTCTGATCCCCAGGTGGCCCCAGGGACCCACCGAAGCTCTTGTGCACCTCAGGGCCATCCCATATCGCCGAAGACATCACCAGGTCTTTGTGTATTCGTCTACTGCGCAGCCTGCAGGCAGCTTTGCGTGTGGGGAGTCCTGCAATGGCATCCATGCTGCTGGGCAGGCCGAACAGTTGCACGATGCTTTGGGCCTTTTGCTGGACACTTGCCATCAAGTGTTTGGCTCTCGCAGCTCTGAACGGACACAACACTCGGGCTCTTCGGCTCTTGCTTTGGGGGGGGGGGCGACGGGGAGAACCAGGATGATGATGAGGAGGAGGAGGAGGCGGAGGAGGAGGAGGCGGCGGAGGATGAGGAGGAGGAAGAGGAGGAGGAGGAGGAGGAGGAGTAAGACAAGTATGAGGAGTATGAGGAGGAGGAGGACGAGGAGGAGGCGGAGGAGGAGGAGGATGCAGAGGAGGAGGAGGAGGAGGAGGAGGAGGAGGAGGAGGAGAAGGAGGAGGAGGAGGAGGAGGAGGAGGAGGAGGAGGATGCGGAGGAGGCGGAGGGGAGGAGGAGGAGGAGGAGGAGGAGGAGGAGGAGGAGGAGGAGGAGGAGGAGGCGGAGGAGGAGAGAGGAGGAGGAGGAGGAGGAGGAGGAGGAGGAGGAGGAGGGAGGAGGAGGAGGAGGAGGAGGAGGAGAGGAGGAGGAGGATGCGGAGGAGGCGGAGGATGGAGGAGGAGGGGGAGGAATGAGAAGTGAGGAGGATGAGGAATAGCAGGAGGCGGACGAGGAGGATGATGAGGAGGAGGAACACGACGACGATACGGAAGAGGAGGACTACGAAACTGAAGAGGAGGATGCGGAGGAGCAGGAGGAGGAGGAGGAAGAGGAAGCGGATACTGAGGACGATGCGGAGGATGAGGATGAGGAGGAGGAGGAGGAGGAGGAGGAGGATGAGGAGGTGGAGGAGGAGGAGGCGGAGGGATGAGGGAGGAGGAAGGAGGGGGAGGAAGGAGGAAAGATGGATGAGGGAGAAGGGAGGATGGAGGGGAGGAGGGAGGAGGAGGAGGAGGCGGAGAGAGGAGGGAGGAGTGAGGATGAGGAGGAGGAGGAGAATGACGAGGATGAGGAGGATGAGAACGAGGATGAGGATGCGGAGGAGGATGCGGAGGAGGAGGAGGAGGAGGAGGCGGAGGAGGTGGAGGAGGAGGAGGGAGGGAGGAGGAGGAGGAGGAGGAGGAGGAGGAGGAGGGGGAGGAGGACGAGGAGGAGGATGATGATGATGAGGAGGAGGAGGCGGAGGATGATGACGAGGAGGATGAGGAGACGGAGGAAGGGGGACGAGGCGGAGGAGGACGAGGAGGAGTTGGAGGAGGAGGACCAGGATGATGATGAGGGGGCGGAAGAGTAGGATGAGGATGAGGAGGAGGAAGGGGGGGAGGCGATGATGACGATGAGGAGGAGGAGGCGGAGGAGGAAGCTGCTGCTGCTGGTTCGGTTTTTGATGGTGACTACGAGGAGGACGCTGATGGCGATGACGATGCTGCAGATGCTGATGATGCTGTCGATGCTGATGATGATTATGATGCTGCCGATGATGCTGCTGATGATGATGCTGATGAGCTTGATGGTGATGCTGATGATGCTGATGCTACGGATGCTGATGAGTGTGATGAGCATGTTGATGATGCTGATGACGAGGCTGATGATGATGCTGATGTTAATGCTGATGCTGCTGCGGCTGCTGCTGACGATGCTGACGAGGATGATGATGGTGATGCTGATGCGGCTGCTGTTGCTGACGATGCGAATGATGATGACGATGCTTCTGCTGCTTCTGCTGCTGATGATGCTGATGTTGCCGAGGATGATGCTGCCGATGATGCTGACGATGATGATGATGCTGCTGATGATGCTGATGCTGATGATGCTGATGATGATGAGGATGATGCTGCTGCTGCTGCTGATGATGCGGATGCTGACGAGGCTGATGATGATGAGGAGGAGGCGGAGGAGGACGGGGACGAGGAGGAGGAGGAGGAGGAGGAGGATGCGGAGGAGGCGGAAGAGGAGGCTGAGGAGGCGGATGAGGAGGAGGCTGGGGGAGGGGGGAGGGGGAGGACTGAGGGGGAGGACGAGGAGGAGGGGAGGAGGGGAGGAGGGAAGAGGAGGAGGATGAGGAGGAGGAGGAGGATGAGGAGGAGGATGAGGATGAGGATGAAGCGGAGGATGAGGAGGATGAGGAGGAGTGATTCGGAGGAGGATGACGCGGATGAGAAGGAGCAGGGGAGGACGAGACGGAGGAAGCGGAGGAGGAGGATGATGAGGAGGAATACAGGGGGGGAGAGGAGGAGAGGAGGGAGGAGGAGGAGGAGGAGGAGGAGGGGAGGAGGAGGAGGAGGAGGAGGAGGAGAAAGAGGAGGAGAAAGAGGAGGCGGGGAATGAGGAGGAGGAGGAAGATGCTGAGGGTGAAGCGGATGAGGACGATGCAGATATTCAGGAGGAGGATGAGGGGGAAGAAGCGGAAAAAGGATGAGGAGGATGAGGAGGAGGAGGAGAAGGAGGAGGAGGAGGGGGAGGAAGAGGAGGAGGGAGGAGGCGGAGGAGTATGAGGAGGAGGAGGAAGATGAGGAGGAGGAGGGCGGAGGGAGGAGCCATGAGGGCGGGGTGAGGAGGGAGAGGGGGGGAGGCGGGAGGCGAGAGGAGGGAGGAGGGGAACGAGCGGCGGGCGGAGGGATGCTGCTGATGCTGTTTTTGAGGATGATATGATGATGATGATGATGATGATGATGATGATGATGATGATGATGATGATGATGATGATGATGATGATGATGATGATGATGATGATGATGGTGATGGTGATGCTGATGCTGCCGATGATGATGCTGTTGATGATGCTGCTGATGCTAATGCTGATTACGCAGATGGTTGCAATGATGATGATGATGATGATGATGATGCTGATGATGATGATGGTGATGCTGATGATGATGATGATGATGATGATGATGATGATGATGATGATGATGCTGAGAATGATGATGATGCTGATGATGCTGCTGTTGATGATGATGCTAATGCTGCTGACGATGATGATGCTGATGCTGATGCTGCTGATGATGCTGCTGATGAGGAGGATGAGGATGAGGAGGCGGAGGAGGGCGAGGAGGGGGATGAGGAAGATGAGGCGGGTGCGGCGGGGGAGGAGGATGAGGATGATGAGTACGAGGATCATCATCATCATCATCATCACCATCAGCAGCAGCAGCAGCAGCGTCAGCATCATGAGCATCATCATAATCGGCATCATCATCATCATCATCATCATCATCAGCATCATCAGCAGTAGCACCAGCATCAGCATCATCATCCGCCGCCTCCTCTTCCTCCTCATCCGCCTCATCCTCCTTCCCTCCTCCTCCTCGACCTCATCTGTCTAGCTCTGTGAACGTGATTGCCTGTCCCAAAGTCTCGGCCGCTGCACGGCAGGATGCAGAGACGAGCTCACTCGTGTGCTTTGCTTCTGTCCGTTGCCGTGCTGGCCCAAGCCTTTTAGAGAGCCGCGACCGCATGCTTCATAACTTCGTCGCTCAGTCAGGTTTCCTCGCGGCCGGGCAATTTGCGGTTGACTGGGCCCGGCACCTCGGCAGTCTCGCGGCTGAGGCTGGGCAGCTGGCGGCGGCGGCGGACCAGCTGGGGGGCACGCGTGCGCTTCTGCTGCTGGTCTTCTGCATAGGCACGCTGGTGGGCTGCTGCTGCTGTTCGGTGTGCGGACTGGCGGGCAGCATCGTCTGGCATGGCGCTGGAGCTGCGGGCTGGAGCTCGCGTGCTGGTGCAGTGGCGCGCTCAGGAGGACTTCCAGATACGCCTTCTTCTGCGTCCCTCCGACGCCGCCGAGCACGAGCGCGAGCTCGGGACTCCTCCGATGAGTCCGACGAGTCCAGTGTGGATGGCGGCTACTCCGGTCGAGGACATTTACCCGCACGAACTCGAGGTTCTGCCCCTTCACGCGCTGGTCCCGTGCGATCGCATGGGCCAGCCGCGATGGCGCGACCGAGGCGGAGGATCGGGGCACTTGGTGGCCCGCCCGACTTACGGCGACCAGTGGTTTTCTCCACCCCTCGTGTTCATGGAGCTTCTCGAATCCTGCGACGCGGCAGCGCCGGAGGCGGCGGAGGCGTCAGCGCTGGCGGCGAGGCCCGAGGACCTGACGGCTCTAGGTGGGACAGCGACTCGTTCTGATGAGCTCGAGCGCGGCTCTGGAAGGTTGCCCGCAGCCGGCAACCAGCGCTGGCTCATCACGGCGAGCGAGGGCGACAGCGACGTGAATGTGCTCGCCGACTTCGAGGGCTGCGAGTGGTACGCGGTGTGCGGAGGACTGGCCATCGCGAAGGCGGGCGGGAAGTGCTACCTGGTCAAGGCGGTGTCGGAGAAGGAGGCCGAGAGCTCGATGGACGCCCGCGTGATGCCGATCTTTACGGGCTCGACGGCGAGAGGAGGCGGGTGTTCAAGGACGCGGTGCGCGGCATGACGGAGACGGCGTGGTCGGGGTGGCCAGTCAAGGGGCCGCGCACCGCGCTTTGGTGCGTCCGCTTCCTCGCGGAGCAGGATTCGCACCCGCGCGCCCGCCGCTCCAAGTGGCGCGCAGAGTGCGGCCTCGGGCCAGCCGACGTCGGCGTGTCGGGCCACGAGCTGGCGATGCGGGCGCTGGAGCTCGGCGCGGGCTTCGACCAGCTCAACCTGACCGAGCTGGCGCTGGTGGAGCTCCTGGTGCGCCGCGCCCAGCTCGCGGAGTGGCGCCACCGGGGGCGGCTGCTGAAGAGCAGCGGCGACGAGTACCTGGAGGACGAGTACCTGTATATGGGGACCTCGGAGACGAGGGGCTTTCTGATGGCGTGCCCGTCGCTCGTGGAG